GGGAGCCACAGACGGAGACTGGGAACGCGATCGTGGCTTTATGTCAGATGGAGCCTCGGAAAATAAAAAAAGGAAAGGAGGGGTTAAGTTGGTAGTCAAGTGCTTGTGTATAATAGCTATGTATACACCCCTCCGCGTTAAATATGTTAATCTCAGATGATTAACATCTTATGTACATTTGTGTTTAATTGAATTGAGCTAAACAGTAAAACCTGTTTTACTTAATCTGTCTTTACTACCAGACTGGCTGCTCACGTGTGCCTTGATTGCAAAACAGAAAAGCAGAACACAAAGCAAACCTCAATCCGTTTCTCGAAAGCTTTTTCTCTACTCCAGCCTGTTTGCAATTCAGGCTACCCATTTTTTTTCCTCTAATTTCAGGGCTGCCACCTTTTAACCCTTGCTGCAAAACTGCAGATCTGGTCTGGGAGGAATTAATGTTTCTTCCTGTAGTGCCCAGAGGCCTCAGGTACACAAAAAACCCCCACAACCCACAACCACTTACCAGGGAAATTAAAAAGAAAACAGACAGTTGCTCAGAGCCCCTAAAAAATCCATGGGCTAAATTACTTGCTGCTGCTTAATTTGGTCCTTATTTAATCCTTTCACCTTAGCTACCAAACGTATCAGTAAATGTCACTAATTGGTACTCTCTCTTACCCAGCTACAAATCCAATTAGGAGCTTGAACCAATTCCCATGTTGAAGACCCCAAAGCACAGGGAGACGGTGAGACCCGCATTTCGCACCTCCCGAGAAGGAGTGTGCTCCTGCTGCTGCCTGTTCCTCCAGCAGCCAGCTGCCAGGCCGCAGGGACTGCCAGAGGGGGTTGCGCTCCTGCACTGATGCTTTGCGGAGGTCCAGAAGGACCAGGCTTGCGTGGCTTGCCTTCAGAAACCCCGTGCCAATGTCAAAAAGTATGCTTTTTTTGGCTTTTTTTTTCTTTTCTTTTTTTTTTTCAGAGGGATAATTCATTTATGCTTCATGTGTGAACATGGAAGAGTTTCCTTCCTGGCTCTGCTGCAGAATTCCCTGGACAAACACCAGCCTTCGCTGCCCACCTCCCCTGCCGCGAGGCAGCGGCACAGCAGGCGAGCGCGGAGCCGAAGCAAACGCTTCTCCTCATCGGCGCTGGAGAGAGGCGGGCGTTCGCAGGAGCCGCTTGCATTAGTTTTTAGAAACCCCATCGCCTTTCCAAGCCTAATTATGAAGAACCCGTTCTCTTTTAAAGCCTGGAATGCAGTTTTCCAGCAACACACGCTCGCGCTTTTATTTTTTTTTTCTTCTCCTTAAGCTAACTTCAGTTTCTGCTTTTCACAAAGTAACCCCCCTCCAGCCGTTCCTTTTAAAGCCTTTCCCATAGGAAATCATCGTTTGCACGCACAAACGGGGGCAGGCCGCCGCCCCCCCCATCTAGTGGCAATAAAAACAGCGTAGCACCGCAGTGAGGACGAGATGTGCCAGCTTCAACACCCACCTAGATTGTGCACTTGTTCGCTACAAAAGTGTCTTTGAGGCCTTTTAAAGTTCCATGGCTTGACGTGTATAAAGCATTGCTCAAAAGTACGTGTAAACTTGCAGCTCCTTCCGTGACGCTCTCCTGCGATTCCTGTTGGCGCCAGCCGGCAGCTCCCGCTCCTGCCCAGCTCTGTGTCCAGCTGCTTCGCCTTCCCGCGGCCGCGCCTGGCGATGGGAAGATCTGCGGAGCCTGCTGCGGGTTCCCGACGGACCGGTTCTCCCACACAGCAGCGCAGGGTGATGAGCCCTTTGCTACACTGGTGCTAACGAAGGGAAGATGAGCGGAACAGATATGTTAACGCAGCTTCACCTGTGTGTCAATTAGATTGCGAGGTTCCCTTTGATTTCACGTTAACGCTTTGTGCAGAGATCGATTAGAATTTATTGGCTGTATCTGTTTGTAGAAAGGTTTTTTGGCAATTTCTATCTTCAGCAGAGTATTACGAAACAAACCGGCACAACCCTGACCTCTGGACGTGTCGGTGTGCGACCCGGGCCAGCCACAGAGATGAGCAGCAGTTCTGGCCTCTGCGTTAGAGAACGCCTTTGTAAACCTGGTTCGTCCAGTTTAAGAGTAGCTTTGTAGACAGCGATGCTGCGGTACCAGCCCGGGCCTCCAGTGTGTCTTGAGCACGTTGGGTCATTTTACCTGCACGCAGGTGGGCTCAGAGGGAGGGAGGAGATGCCGTTGGTGGTTTTTTCTGCTGTTGAGTTAGGTGAGAGAGACGTTCCTGCAGCTAGAGCTTGCTGAGCAAACTCATCCTGCCGATGGTGGCGCGGCGATCTTCGGCAGTGCAGAGCGGATCGCGAGGCTCTGACACGTCTTCGACGTGATGGGATTTTACTGTTTCACAACCGAGGCACGTTCAGGACTACGACATCGATTTCTCAGTCTTTGTCCCATTTTAACCCCCCGCCCTCCTTTCAACTAATGCTCTGTTGGCTTCAGATCGCAGGTCATGGAAATCTCACTGCCGTCACCTGCCGCAGAACAGGAAGGTCTGACGTAAGCCTTGAAAGGCTTCCATCGTTTTGAAGGAAAATCAATTTTAAACTGCTGACTGTTGAGAGGGCTGCTCGCCTGCGGGAGGGCCGCGCACCGGTCGGAGGTGCCGTGGTCCCTCGCTGTCGCGGTGGATGTCTCAGGGCCAATGTTCTGTCGTCTGGAATTGCATCGTGAGAAAAGTGCTTAGAGTTGAAGCTGGTGCTGGGTGACAGTGCATCTGGGTAAGGCAAATGAGAGGCAGTGAGGTGATCTCAGAATGGCATTGATGTGATTAACTTGAGGTCAGGGGTTCACACTAGAGTCCCAGGCTTGGCTTTTTCTTGCCCATACCACTGGACATCTGCTAATTCTGGATAGAGGGGAGAATCCAGGAAACAGCTATCGTTGTAGCTCCTGCAGGAGAAAAGAAACTTCATTAGGACAACGAGGGCTCCCGGGGCGTTCAGCCGTGGGCATAAAGCATCACATGATGGGTGGGGAGGAACGCAGGACATCACGTTCGCACTCTGCAGATACCCCCGGAACTGACGTTTGGGGTGGGCTCAGCATGCAGAGCCCTGCCCTGACCCAGTCTGCTCTTGCCCGGCGGTCCCATTCCCCCCAGCATCCCGCCAGTGGCCAGGAGGCAGGAGAAAGCTGAGCTCAGGCAGCCTCTCCAGAGCTTTGCCTGATGCCTGAACGGTGACAGGCAGAGCTGTTGCGTTCTCAGCCCACTGCTGGCCAGTGGCCGGGGCTTCGTGAAGGGGATGTGCTACAAGAGAGCAGAGCGGCTGCTGGAGGCTGAGAGCTCATGGCCAACCTCCCTGGCTGCGTCCATCCCACCACCCGTGGGTGCCACACCTGCCTCCACTTCCTCTGCGTGTGGCCTCTTCCCTCCGGGCACAGCAGCACCACGCTGCCTTGCCTGAAGGGCTCTGTCTGGCTTTCCTGCCCGGCGTGAGCCCTGGGTACAGAGATTTTTCAGTAGGATGCTCTCCAGGGAACAAGTCTGCAGAGCAGCCCTGCTGGACACGGGCTGCAGTACCCAGTGGGAGCATGGAAGGAGGAGGGGGATGGTGCAAAGGACCAACGTGGAAAGGCCCGTGGTTCATTGCAGGTGGCCTAGTCCTCATCTCGGGGCACCTCTCTTGACAAGCTACTGCTTCTTTTGCTCTATGGCTTTTGGTTTGCTTGCACAGAGCAGCCGAGACAATTTATGGAAATTTTCTTTGGTATTTTATCTTAAAGCTCTGAGCAGCGTTGGCTCCTGGCTTAGTCTGTGGAGCTCCTTGCCAGAGGAGAATACTGAGGTCAAAATCTTATTGATATTTTGAAAAGTGACTGCTATGTCTGCACAGTAATATTTAGAATTGATGTCTCTCCCTTGGTTTTAATTTTAACCGACTTCCAAACTAGAGATTGTTTCGAGGCCAAAAGCAGGAGATGCGTTTTCTGTCTGTTTACTGTGAGGTTCTCGCTCCTCCCTCAGCTCCCTCCCCGCCTCGCAGGACTGATCTTACATCTGGTGCAGCCCAGAAGTTCCTGCTTCCTCTGTCCTGTTTTCCACCTGGTCTCGGTGTCTGGGAGGAACCCGAGCAAGGGCATCACCGGCTGCCTGTTAAAGAGCCTTTTGTTTCCCAGCTCTGTGCTGGAGTACGGAGGTTTACGGGTTATCTCTAGAAAGCTGGGCTTGAAATACTTGACAGATGCCAGCTGTGAATGGTTGTAGATTCAAATGAGTGTCAGACAGGATGGCAGTTTAATTAAAATAGAAATACTCTTGGGGTTTTTTTTGTTCCTTCCTCCCTTCCCCCTCTGTCTTCCCACAGGAACGGGGCCAGGATTGCTCCTCGCTCCGTGAAACCTCGCTGCTGCTGCTGCGAACGGGCTCTGCTGCGCTGCAGGAGGGAAGGAGCAGAACGGGTACTCGGTGCCGCGGCTGGGGCACTGCCGGGGGCTCAGTCCAGCTCCCCTGCCGACCCCCTTTACCCAGGTTCGTCTCCCCGCCACGCCGCTCCCGGACTCTCCCCACAGCACTTAGCCCACGCTGCTCGGAAATGTCCCCGGCCGCAGATCTGTCGCTCCGGCTTGCTCTCTGTGCCCGTTCAACCTCTGCGCGAACGCAGAGCGGGCTGGCCCAGCGTCCTCTTTCACAGGGCAAAGCGCCGCAGCCGCAAATGTGCTGAAAAGGCCCAGAGAGAGCTTGGAAGTGCTTTCAAGTTGTTCTTCCAAGAGCTGGAGGAAGCTTTGTTGCCAAATAAACGGGCACACAATTAAAAGGGCTGCTCCTCCGGGACAGCGGGGTGCCGGTTATTGGCACTGTGTGCATGGACTGTAAGGCAGAAGGATGAAAGAACAAAACGTTCCCTTACTATACCTCTATTCATCAGTACTTTGGTGGGTTGGAGACTGAGACTCATCCATAGTGGGTGAGTTGTCTGTTGCTTCTCTGAACAAAGGAGAGCAAATAAGGAGGAAAGAGGAGAGAGGAAATGTTAAAGAGAAGTGACACAGACATTGTTACGAGCTTATTAATCCAGTGGGGAAACAAGTTGATGAATCATCTTTAGAAAAAGTTAGTGACACAAAAACATGTCGGGGAGAACTGTCAATCTTTGGAGTCGTGCTGGGAGGGCACAGCCTGCTCCTGCAGCGGGGGAATTTTGCTTTTGCAGCTAATGGCAAACTTTATCTGCTCCTGCTGTATTTATACGTACGCCTTGGGTCTTGAAATAAGAGAAATAATACACGCGGCCATGATTTGTCTCCAGTTCTTTTCGCACTGGTTGTTGGTGCAGGGCCTAAGCTGTAAACCTAGGTAACCTCACTTTCACCAGCTGAGAATGTGGCTTGATGCATTTCTGCTGTAAGAAACAGGGAGCAGGAGTTCTCTTGAATGGAAAAATAAGAAAAAGTTGGGATTCTCCGAACAGATTTCTTAGCTGGCTGCTCACCAGTTTTACTGCCAATCATCACGGAGATATTTAGAGGAATTAGGATTGGGACGGAGACTGAGACTAAGATTTGAGTCTAGATTCAAACCTTTAGTAGTGGGAATTGCAGTGTAAGCTACCAGTAGCGGTACTGTATTTTGGCTGTCTTGCGATCCCTTCACTTTTTATGAAATGGGACCAGGAAAATTCCCCCGTTTGAAAGCTGGAAGCACATGCAAAGACCACGTGAGGCCGGATATCAGATGCGTGAATTTAAAATCCAAGCGAGGCCTAAGGGGGTTGTGGTTATGGTTCTCATCGTCACGAACGGTGCTGGAGTAAATCCAGAGGTCAAACTTGATCATAGGTGACCAGAAGAAATTAAAGAGCATGAGATTTTTCCAGCGGCTGCACAGTGAAATGTTTGCAAAGTCACTGGTCCCAATTCACAACGTGGGATCATATCCGCTTTCCTACTCTAGGGCCTACGGTATTTTGAAGACTGTAGTCTGTAACTTTCTAGTTGACCTCACCAAACTCAATTTAGATGCAAAAATCTGAGACGTGCTGGTTAGACGGGATCTGGAAACCATCTGTATTTCATGTGGCAGGACAGAATTACAGGAGATGGCTACAGAATACCCATGGGAGCTTGCAAAGGGCTTTTCGTTTACTCATGGAACTCCCTGCCTCACAAAGTGCCAAAGAACCCAATTACTCTATTTACATGAGTAATGGCTACCTGCATGTAGTGACTCACTCACGCTTTGGCGAAGCATGTTAAGTTAGTGGTAGCTGAAAAAAGATGTACTTAATAGTCATTAAGACACATTGCTAGGGAAAACCTAGCAGAAAAACGTGGTTGCTGCACACACAAATATGGTAGGCACCTAACCTTGCCTTTACGGTGAAGAGCTCCTTGGTCTGGCCAGCATGATGGTTTATAAAAAAAGATGAGCTGTTTTGACACATGGAAAATTGGAGGAAGCAGGCTGTCCAAGCAGGAAGAACCTGCAAGGCTTCTTTCCCTGTGGATCTGGCACTGCCTGGAGTGCTGCTGGGTGCGGATGGCACTGCCGCATCTTGGTCAGCCTGAACGAGAGCTGCACCGCTACGAGAGCGCTGCTGGGAGGCTGGAAATGCTCTGTGCGGGTGTTGGCTACAGAGCACCTGGAAAAGGTTGCCTGTACCTATGTTCTCTCTTTGCTTGTGTGTGTGGAGGTGTTCCTCACCAGCACTGAGCGAGGTGAACTCTCTAACCCAACCCCACGGACACTCACCCAGTCTGCCATGCGAGAATGTGGTGGGGGCTGCCCGGCGGCGTGGCTGCTAGCTCGCTCGATGGCGTTGAACTCCTCTGGCTGTGAGGTAAGGCAGCTGAAAAACAACCAGAGGGTGGAGAAAAATAACCGGTGAGGTGAGGGCGCGAGGGTCAGCGTGGTTCAGAAGCATCAGCTGGTCAGACCAGCAGAAACGTGTCCTGCTGTGGGTAAACACAGCCTGGGAGTCAGACCTCATGCCCTTCCTGGATGGCCGTGCCCGAACACGGCAC